TGAGGCTCAGTGATGTCACTGTGGGAACTGCCTTGTGGGGACAAGGGACGTCCCTCGTGTTCTGCTCATGCTCAGAAGGCCCCTAACCTGTGAACCTCCCATTCCTGTCCTGACCCTGCCATGGGCTCCAGGCTCCTCTGCTGGGTGACCCTCTGTCTCCTGGGGACAGGTGAGTGCTCAGAACACCAAGCAGTTTCCGTGTGTGTGTGTGTGTGTGCATGTGTGTGTGTGTGTGTGTGTGTGTGTGTGGTGACTACAGGTGTTTTCCTCATTGCTCCCAATTTCTGTCTTCACAGGTCACACAGATACTGAAGTCTCCCAGTCCCCCAGGCACAGGGTCACAGAGAGGGGCCAGGATGTATCTCTCAGCTGTGATCCAATTTCCGGTCATACTGCCCTGTACTGGTACCGACAGACCCTGGGGCAGGGCCCAGAGTTTTTGATGTACTTCCAAAACGAGAAAGCCGTGGACACATCAGGGATGCCTGATGATCGGTTCTCTGCTGAGAAGACACAGGGCTCGTCCTTCACCCTGAAGATCCGGCGTGCAGAGCAGAGGGACTCGGCCGTGTATCTCTGTGCCAGCAGCTTAGCCACAGCATGGCACTGTCACCTCCTTCCTGCTCACAAACACTCATGTGCTCACCTCTCCTCCTAGTTCCCAGAACCCCCAGAGGAGTTGCCCTGTTCTTCCTGAGTCAAGGGGTCTAAGAGCCCTTGGGACTCCTACTGTTCTTCTGACAGTGTGAGCTCAGGAAAGAACCTTTGAAATACCAGAACAGGTCATGCTGGGTAGTAATAAAATTGCTTTGTGAATTCCAGGGATTCCTTTATACAATTCAAGATTCTGCGATTGACATTGAATATCAGAGCCTAGTCTCAGGTGTAGTGAAATATTATCTCATAAAACTATAAAGTTGCAACACATTTATAATAAACTTCTAGAACTGAGTGTCACTAGCTCAGACCACACTATGCCCAGGTGTGGGCCAGCCAATACAGAACATTGTTAGATGATATGCAGCCACCAGCCTTAAAAATAAATAAATTAGAATCCTTAGTAAGAATTGTCACTGAAATTCATTATCCAGAAGCAACTGTCCCCACAATAGTGTACATTAATGTATGTCCATATATTGCTTTTTAATTTCTCTTGACAATCCTGCAGTCATTCTGTGTTTAATTACCTTATTCTCTAGTCTAATTTTTAATAGAGACTTAAATTTATCTCGGTTTCATAAAATACAACCCCACTTGAGAAAAGGTTTAAGGGAAATGATTCAAAGACCTGATAACAGTCACAGTTGCCCGCCTTATCCTTGGGAATATGTTGCAAGACCCCCAGTGGATGCTGGAAACCATGGATAGTACCTAACCCTCCATATACTGTTTTTCCCTGTATATACACACCTTTTCACTTAAAGGAAGCACTTTACAGCTTCTGTGTGGCATATCCAAATTGCCGGCATCACTACTTTTGCGCTTTGGGGTCGTTATAAAGTAAAATAAGAATTACTTGACCAGAAGCACTGCCGTTCATGACGGTCGATCTGTTAACCGATATGGTTACTAAGCGACTAACAGGCTGGTTGTACACACAGCATGGAGACGGTGGGCAGAGGGGTGGTCACATCCCTCATGGGACTAAGCAGGATGGCACAAGATGTCACCATGCTACTCACTACTCAGGAGGGTGTGCGATTTCAAAGTTACTGTTTATTTAAGAATTTTTCATTTTCAGACTATGGTTNGTCAAGGTTAGATGAGTGTTTAAGGAAATTGAGCATACAACTTACAGGATACTGCTTCTGGGATATTCTCCCTGCTGACCCTGCAGACACTTCCCAGCATCTCTTGAGTCATTGTAGAAGAAATGATGATGAAACTTCAGTTATGGACCACAAGATGGCACTGTGATGCCACTGAGACTTAAGGGGTTCTGGGGAGCTTCTGAGAGAACAGACTAGGAGGGAAAAGGTTAAAAACTTAGGCACGGCTCCAATATTAAGCAGATGTTGAAGAAATTTTCAGTTATTGCTAGGCTACCCCCAGCTATGGAAGAGGTGGAAGGTTTCTCTGAACTTGAATGAGGTCCCCGGTTGAAGGATTTGGGCAAGGCAGCCTTGATGTCAGAGGCAGGTGCAAACAAGAGCAACTGTCTCAGAGGAATGTGGGAAACCAAGGAGGTGGGGTGAACCCTAAACTCAGTGCATCGCAGCCACACCCCTTCTCCTCTGCCGACCATGCTTAGCTACGTCTATGAAAGGAGTTGCTGATTCAGCCTGAGCCAAGCCAGAAGGGACCCTGGGCCAGGGAGCATCTGCAGGGGTGGGGGCAGTGACATCCCAGGCAGACCTGTCTGTCCATTGGAGAAGGGCCTCTGAGCTCTCTCTCTCTGTCCTGCGGATCAGCGCATTTAGCAGGGACAGCCTCCTCTTGTCCTTATCCAATCATGAGCCCCAGCCTCTTTTGTGTGACTCTCTGTCTCTTTGTGTCAGGTGAGTTTGGGAGTCAGTAGGAAACCTCCGCCATGGGTCTGCACAGTCCCAGCTCCAAGCCTTTCCTTTCCTTTGCAGACCCAGGTTCCTCCTTAAGCCTTTTCTTTACCTTATGTCTGCCCCTGCAACAGGCCCTGTGAATGCTGCAATCACCCAGACGCCAAGATACCGTATTCTACAAACAGGGAAGAAGACAACCCTGGAATGTTCTCAGCATATGAACCATTTTGCAATGTACTGGTATCGACAAGACCCTGGACAGGGGCCAAGGCTGATGTATTATTCGGGAGGTGTCAACAGCACTGCCAAAGGAGATGTCACGGAAGGTTACAGCGTCTCCCGAAACAAGAATGAGCATTTCACCTTGATCCTGGAGTCAGCCAGCGCCAACCAGACTTCTCTGTACCTCTGTGCCAGCAGTGAATACACAGCACTGTGCAGCCAGCTGCTCTCTGCACACAAAGGTCAGCCACAGGTGTGAGGGATGTCTCCTCCCCGAGGGCCCTGTCTCACCAGGAGGGAACACTGCCTCTACTGAAACTTCACCAGACTTCCCAGCAATGGTCCCTCAGTCCCAAGGGCCTTGGGCGGCATGGATGTCCTTGTGTGCATATGTGTAAATGCAAACAGCATGTAATGTTATTCTCTAGATTCGGAATATCCTGGTAATTGAGTAANTGAGGTGGAAATGGCTTGGTAGGCCATCCTAGCTCGTCCCAAATAGGAAAGCCATCTAGAGCTGATAGGCCTGGTTTGGTGTCTCGCATTTTAGAAATGAACAGGGCTTTGGAGATCATTTCATGGCAGTCCCCATCACGCAGCAGTTGAAGAAATACAGTGTCACATATAGGAAGTGATTCAATCACTGAAATATTGACATTTCCTAAACATGATACGATGCATTTTATTCCCTGGTCGTTACATGTGACTATGTTGAATGACCCCATAACAGAATTTGTGGGTGCACATGATGTCTTGTGCTTGTTCATAGCTGCTGCTCAGGGAGCACAAATCAAGCTGGCCTATTAGCCCCCCCAAAAGCTATACTGAAGGGATGTCTGCAGGGCTGTGTTTTGTTCATTACTAAGAATCCAGACATAGGACACTCACTTTTTAGTCATCAGAGATCAACTAAGTACGTGGATGAGTAGTACTGTTGCCAGCTATTTTGTTGTTTCGGATGCGTCTTTCCTCTTCACACATCAAGGTCTTTATACCCATCACAGCTGCTCCCAGCCTGAATGAGGGATGGGTCTGGATTGCTGACCTGGGGTGGTGGGAAGAGGCCAGTGAACTGAGAAATGTGCTGCTTTGGCCACAAGGAGGAGCTGTGGCTCTGTTGAAACCTCTGAGGCTGGGGCAAGGGAAGGGGGTTGGGAGTGAGCGGAGGGATTGGGGAGGGGGGAAGCTAGGGCCTGGGGTTCTGTCCTTATGTCAGTTGGGAACAACAGTTGTAGACATCTCAAAGATACTAAACTGAAATCACTTTCAAGTTGATTTCCCTTTGTCTTACCCTATTGCCTTGTGTTCTCTTTTGTTCTAAGCCCAGCTAAGCCCTGTATCCTCAGTACAGAGGCAGGTTATGCCTTGTATGGCCCCCTCTGCACCCTTTCTGGTGTCTGGCTCCGAGCTGGCATCGCAGTTGTGCATTTTAAATGATGGGCACTGATCTATCCAGTCTCCCTCCCTCCGTGCAGTTGGGCAAAGGGACTCCATGGAGCTTAGACCCTGCGGGAAATGATGTTTTGAGTGATGTCCTGCTTGACTGAGCAGGGGAGAAAGGGGTTGAAGTGGAGATGGTCTCTCGCTGAGAAGGGGATCCTGGAAGGGAGGTGGCTGGACAGAGTCTGCGCAATTAGGAGGCAGCTAATAGCAAAAGAGCAAGTGTTCGGGAAATAACCCACCCCACGCAATTCAAATCTACCTTCCATCACAGTCTATTTAATGCATGAAAAGGGGCGGAAGAAATATCCCTTAGGTCTGGGGAAACTGTCAGGGACAGTGACATCAGACGCAAAACCACCAACCAGGGCCAAGGAGACCAGAGCCCAGCCCCCTTGCCGGGTCGTCCTGGTTAGACAGACGATGCCACCTCGGCCCGTCTGCACCATGGGCTGCACGCTGCTCTGCTGTGTGGCCCTGTGTCTCCTGGGAGCAGGTGAGTCTTGGGTTCATGGGCTGCCCTTGGACTCCAAGCCATTCCCCTGTGGCCGCAGCAACGTCCGTCCTTATGGGCTATGTCTGAATTTTGTCCCCTTCCCCCAACAGTCCCCATGGACACTGGAGTTACTCAGATACCAAAGCACCTGGTCATGGGAATGAGAAGTAAGAAGTCTTTGACATGCGAACAACGCCTGGGACATAATGCTATGTACTGGTATAAGCAGAGCGCTCAGAAGCCCCCACAGCTCATGTTTTCCTACAACTATAGGGAACTCAGGGAAAACATGACTGTCCCGAGCCGCTTCTCACCTGAATGCCCAGACAGCTCCCACTTACACCTTCACGTGGACGCCCTGGAGCCAGAAGACTCCGCTGTGTATCTCTGTGCCAGCAGCCAAGACACAGCCTTGCAGAGTCACCTTCTGCCTGTGCAGAAACCTCCCGGGTCCAGCCAGGAAGCTGTGGGGCCACCAGGGCTCCGCTCAGCATTTCCCGTGAGGCCCTAGACGGAACTCTCAGACCACAATAGAGCCTGTCAAGTCACTGGGTACAACAATGCTGAATTCCACGCACAGATACCAACAGCCTGCGGCCTGGCTTTGTCTTGAACAAGGCTGTGCCCGCAGTTGCCTGTAGGATAGAAACATTCGAGGTTAAGTTTTTCCATAATCGATTAGCTTGTGCCCCTGGGGAATCTTTCGTGAGACCCTTTACACTCTGGCCTCAGCAGTCCTACCAAGCCCCCTTCTAACACGTGCCTTTCCTGTCTTTTCTTTCCACCCAGGTTTGACCCTAGGTCTTAGCCCTGATCCCAGCTTCAAATACACCCAGACCTTTTCCCAAAACACCTCATTCCCTCACCGTGGGGCTTCGTCAGTTCCCACCACTGAGGACAATAATCCCCTCATCTGGCTTGGTTAGTTCTGCGCCCCCCCCCCCCAGTCTCTTTGTCAGAGTCCATGCCTCTGGACTGAGGCTCTGAATTGACTGTCAGAGAGGAGAGTGGGTCCCACCTGTGTGTTCAGGTCTTCACAGCTGGCCTTGCTGTCCAGAGCCCACATTCTCCAAGGGCCCCTCTGCAGCCCCAGTGTGTCACCCAGGGCTGCGGGCCTGTGCGCTCCAGCACTCATGTCTACAGGCACTAAGGCTCAGAGTGCCAGCTCTTAACCTGGGAACACCAAAGCATTGAGTTGGGGTATACCCCCTCACTCCCTGACCTGCCATGAGTACCAGGCCTCTCTGTTTTGTGGCCGCTTGTCTCTTGGGAACAGGTGAGTCCAGGTAACAGATGGAAGCTTTTGATGTGGGCTTTTCAATTCCAGATCCTCAGTATTTCCTTCCTTTGGACTTGCACCATGGCCAAGGCAAAAATCTTAGTTACCGCCCAGATACGCCACACGGGGGCACTGTGGGACGGCCGAGCTCCAAATGTTTCTGGGGCAGAGCAAGCCGACCAGGAGGGTTAAAAGAACAGCCTTGTTTGGTGCTTTTGTTTGCTACAGAGCTTAATAGCATAAACGCTAATTGGCAGGTGCCGTTCCAGCCGGGAGCCATGAACTTCAGCTGTGCAATGGTAAGGGAGATTCTCTGAGCTTACAAGGGAAAGTGATGGGTGCAGAGCTGGGACAGCCTGCATGCCCTGGGAGCAGGGACCCATAGAAGAACAGCTGCCTCAAAGGAAAGGCAGGGGAGCTGTAGGGGTGGGCACAATGCGAAACCCAGCCCAGCATCGACCAGCCCAGTTAGCCTGAGATATCATGGGCAGGACAGAAGGGGGCCTGAGCCAGCTGAGCCCAGGCCCAGGCAAGGGAGGCCAGGCTCGTGGGAACCCGCAGAGATAATGACATCACTGCCTATCTTCCAATCAGAGAAGGATGCCCAGAACATCAACCTGAGAGGACCAGAACTCTGAGCAGGGACACAGCACCCAGTGCTGCCCCACCCTGCCATGGGCTCCAGGCTCCTCTGCTGTGTGGCCCTTTGTCTCCTGGGAGCAGGTATGTCCTTGGTATAGGGGGGACATCTCTGTTCTAAGCCTGCCAGCACCTGAATCCAAGGCACCATCAGGTTCCCTCCGTGTCCTTTCTCCAGCCCCTGTCTCCTTCCCTCACAGGCCCAGTGGATTCTGGAGTCACCCAAACACCAAGACACCTGGTAAAAGCAACAGGACAGACAGTGACACTGAGATGTTTTCCTGTGTCTGGTCACCTCTCCATGTACTGGTACCAGCAGTCCCCAGGCGAGGGCCCCCAGTTCCTTGTTGAGTATTACAACGGGGAAGAGAGAGAGAGAGGAAACCTCCCAG